TTCTACTTCTACTTCTACTTCTACTTCTACTTCTACTTCTACTTCTACTTCTACTTCTACTTCTACTTCTGCTGCTGCTGCTGCTACTACTACTACTACCACTACTACTACTACTACTAGTACTAGTACCTGTACTACTACTGCTACTTCTACTACTACTGCTACTACTACTCCTGCTGCTGCTGCTGCTACTACTACTACTACCACTACTACTACGACAACAACAACTACTACTACTACTACTACTACTCGTACTACTACTGCGCAGAGGCCTCGAAACTTAGTCAATTTCTGGGCATCGCATACTGAGCTATGCAATACCATGTTTCGGACAACGCTTGGGCAGCCTTGTGCTACCAGTGGCATCTGGATCAAGTGGTACGACAATGACCGTTGGTGGTGGCGAAGTTGCGATGCCGGCAGCCGGTGAATCGACTGCCGACGATCTATTGACTATTTCCGTGGATTCAGCAACCACAGAAGAAGACAAGAAACAGAAGCCATCAGCGTCATCTTCGAATCCTCGCCAAAGACCAAGAGCGAAGTCGGCACCAAAGACTCTATCGCAAACGCGATCAGCGTCAACTGGTACCCGATCGAAGACAGGCGAAAGGCGTCCGTCAAGGACGGTGATGCAATGTCTGCAAACTTCTACGAAGACAAAGGATCGTGAACCAAGAAGCCCAGAACACATGAAGCCAAGATCTTCATCGAGATGTGGTTCGCACAAGAGAAGCAGTCACAGCCACTTTCTCCTTTGGTGAGGCCGCAAACGACTGATTCAGCCCCTATGCCTTTGGCGAAGGATGCGGATTCGCCGAGTGCTGACATTATGTTGGGCAGGGCTATCCAATCTCGTCAACAAGAGGCATTGCGCAACAATCTTGCCGTATTGAGCCTTACAAGTCGTTCACATCATCTACCACAAGCGGTCAGTGACCAGGTCATCCAGCAATTGATGCATGCGGAAGAAGAAATGAGGATATTTCACCAAGAAGACAATCAGCGGCATGAGGCGATCGTGATGAACTTGACTGCGAAACTGGATGAATTGATGCAAGAGGACCAAGGATCAACAATGAGAATTGAAGAATTGGAACGACAATGCGATTTTCTACATGCTGCAGTTGGACACGTAAATCAAGTACATCACAGCTCTACGGAGGAGTACGTACATGTGGTGAGAAGAATCGAGGAAGCGAGCCATGCCCAGCATCTACGTGACGAAGAAGTGGCAGAATCTCTGTACCATGAGTTGGGACAGCTCCGAAGCGAGTTTTCGGACGGTGTGCCTGGCCGGGCGCAGCTTGTGCTTCGACCAGAAAGGAGCCAGCACACCGCTGTAGAATTTTGGGCAACACGTCATTAGCGCCGGGCTTTGTTGTGAAGAGTTTCACCATCTTGCTCGTTTCATGTAATGCACTAGAACATGATGATGATACCGGTTCTGCTGATCATCTTTCTGGTAAAGATGATCCTGATGATAACAGGTAGACCTATGTCAGGTGTTGTTCTCAGCACTATTGCTATAAATTTATAACGTGAATAAGCATGCATCGAATGCCTTACTTTCGAAAGAGACATCATTACTTGTGCAGGCATTTGCGATGTTTGGATCGAATGCAGTGTGAGCATGGATGTCATTATCGGTCATCGGGTCCAGCACGAAAGTAGATGCTGTTTCGTGTTGGAGGGTGTACGCAGTTCCCATTTGGGTTGCAGCGCGCGCATGGCAGCTTTTGGGCGTAGGCTTGAGCGCTCGTAAGTGCCATACAAAACGGCACATGATTAGACATGAAATGCGATTCATGTCTCTTGCTCATGGACGCGATGCTTACTGATGAGTAGCGATGTCGTTCGCTCCAGGTCCCGCAGTATATCTTCTGCTATCGGGAGCGGGTGAATAAAGACGTGTCCTGCTCTCAGCGTAACTGCAGGAACTTTTTCACGTCTTTCACATCTTCTCTCCTTTGTCTGAGGGGCACAAGCCTGTATGTGGTCATGCTTGGGGGATACCGTGTTTTCTATGCGCTGAACTGGATCTACAAGAAGGTATTGCCAGCAACATTGCAAATACATGCCGTTCATGACTCCTAGCACAGATTCCATTATTGATACTTGTCCGACAGATCAACATGCCTCGCTACTCCGACATCCAGTCTTGGATTGGTGGCCTGGTCGAGATAATGTTTTTCCTCGACTTCTTGAACTACAGGCTCGTCGACCCTACTACAATCTGAGAAGAGCGGTGGCATGGCAAACGTACCGTTTGTGAAGGTTCACTGGAAACAGCATCCTGCGGTCCTTCGTCCTGAAAGTTGATACCAAAATCAACGAAATCAGTGACCAGGCCGGTTCAATCGAGCTCGCTGTCAACAAGTCTTGGCGAAATGCAATTGCTGTCCAGGTGGAATCGAAAGTGCTGGGTTCAACCTCGCGATCAGAGCGTGCTGACACTGAAGGTGGCGAGATGAGGAGGCTCGCCAATGTCCGAGGGTGGAACCGCCAAACGAGGGCATTACGGTTTTGCTACTGCACAGCATGATGAACGAAAGCGCGATGTTCGGTCCTAGCTCTGTGCCCTGCAAACAGTCACTATTTCCTTGAGTTGAGCAGCCGCTCTCAAGGCGGCGGAAGCAAGACGAAGATCGTCCGATGGAGGACTCAGTTGCTCGTAGAGTTTCAAGACGGAAACTCTTACCAGTAGAATTTGGTAGAGAGAGAGAGAGAGAGCGAGTACGTGTCGCCAAAAGAGTGTGGAAGAAGAGAGAGAGAGAGGTACATCTTTGCTCATCTTGTATTGGTTGTTGTCGTGAAAGTTGGAAAAGGCCGCGTGCGAACCCTGCTCTGTCCCCAAACACTGGGAACACAAAGGTGTATACCATGTACCTTTTCTCGACCCCCACGCCTGATACGAGTTTATTACTTGTGTTGATGTTTCTCTTCTGACCGGGGGATCGAGAAACAGCTGAGGTACGTGGGCACGTGGAGTCGTACTGTTGTGCTGACGAACCCCCGAAAGCCCCATGAACGATGGGGGGCCCCATGGGCCCGGGGGCGTAACGAGCCCCTTGCACCTGAAGGAAGAAGAGAGAGAGAGGGGTCCCTTTCCTCGAAGCCACCAGCAAGCAAGCAAGCAAGCAAGAGAGAGAGAGAGAGAGAGAGAGCGATGTCGGTTTTTGTTTACGTTAGCAGCCTGTAAATTGAACTCAAACCGGCAGACAACCATGGGTGTCCCAAAGTTGTACTGAGCTTCGAACCCGGGGGACTCACAGGAAAAACGCGCCGGGGGGGAAAGCAAAACCTTTTCACACCCCCTGAAACCCCATGAAATTTGGGGGGCCAACTGGCCGGGGGTCTAACCGACCCCTCATGCCTTGGGGAAGAAGAGAGAGAGCGAGAGAGAGAGAGAGAGAGAGTTGGGGTTGGTTAGTGTTCGGGGTCGGGGGCTTACTGCTGAAAGTCTGTCGCATCCTTGGTACTCTTGTGCAGCAGTCATTATGACCCCAATGCCTCCCACTCAATAACACAATGGGTGGGGGGGCGGGCCAATGGCCTGAGGGTCGCAAACACGCGACCCCTATGCCCTGCAGAAAGAAAGAAAGAGAGAGAGAGAGCCGAGAGCCTAGCGAGTGCGGCAACCTGCAGGATGTTTGAAGACTGTTCTCAGTCAGAGCCGGCAATGCATCTCGGACAACAAACATCCCTGCGAAAGATGCTTCGACCGCCGTGACTGCCTTTTCGACCTTGATGTGAGCTTCACGGATGGCATGAGTTGAAATGAATTCGTTTTCTGATCAGACCCGCATACGAGCCATGCTTGAAATCTCGGCAGGAGTAGCGATCAGACCCGCATACGAGCCGTACTTGAAACCTCGGCAGGAGTAGCTGCAAGCGAGACTCCCCACCGGATGTGGATTGATTGAGGTAGCTGCTCCACGATACCTGTGCATATAGTCTTAGGCGAAGGCTTCATGTCGTGCTAGCGGCTCTCTCAGAGAACAAGGCACCAAAGTTTGGAGATCTGCAGCATATGGCAGTCAGTTACTTTGCTCTGGCGTCAGAACCTAATGCACTGTCTGCAGCCATGGGCCGTGTCTCCAACGGCACTCACTGCCTGGCCCGATGCATGCAATGGTCAGAGGTTGTGCCATAAACCGAGACCTTTCAAGCGTACCGGATGCACTATCTGCAGAAGCTGTCGAAGCTCGGCTGGCTTGCGTCTTGCAGATGACAGGAGGAAACATCACAGTTGACAGTCGGCAGTTGGCAGCTGCATATCTCCAACCACTCAGCTGATGCGCGCTTGTCATCCAAGTTGTGGCATCCATTGTGCTATCCCGGTCGAAAGCAATTCAAAGTCGCATGCGCGCACATCCTGAGCCTTGGTTGAACTTGCTGCAAGGAGGGGCTTGTTTTTTCAACGACATGAAACTCTGTGCCTTCTGTCAGGTTGTGCAGTTTGGACGTCCATAAATTGTCCATTACAGTTGCTGTCGAACTGCTCGGCCGAGCCAGCTTGCCAACTCATGTGCGCTCAGACCGCATGCCAGTCATGTTTGGTCGATCATGAGCAAGTGACTGACGAGGCGTTCCAAGTTTCGACGCAGTGTGGTCTGGAAACGAACCCGCCACTGTGGCCAGCAATAGGACATCCACATTGCGAGCTGCATTTAACTTCGAAATTGGCTAGCTATTCGAGAGGGTTTGCTGGTTTCAATGTCTTTCGCGGCTAGGCCATCGTGACCGTCAGAGGCGGCAGTCTTGTCTCGTGTTGATCAGGAGCCGACAATGACACGAGGCGATCTAGTTTGAAACTGGCTGAAGGCTTCCCGAAAGCCGCAGACACGGCATAGCGAGCTTGAAGGTCAGTGTGAACGCCTCGATGCCAAGGTTTCAATTAGCTGAAGTTGCCGTGTCCGGTGAGCAGCCCGCAAACACTTTCGTACAAGTGGCTTCAACCACAGGCAAGGCCGGCAGGGTTAGCCGAGCAGAGCGGAGGTCCGAGCCCGGCTCGGAACTTTGTCTCGCTGACAGGTTTGAAGAGAAGGCATGGCAACATCAACCAAGGCCATGCTGACAACTTGTGATGATCGTACTTACATGCGAGAACTTGCAGGTTTGCAGGTTGGGACTTGCAGATAGGCTGTTGCAAGCTGCTGCGATCGAGGAAGGACCTGGAAGTAGATGTTTTACCCAGCAGACATTTCTTTGCCTTCCTGCATCTTCCTGCCTTCCACCTTCGCCTTTCAGATTGCGTGGTCGCTCGATGCGATGATCGAGGCCGAAGCTGAGATGCGAGCATGAGCAGGGCAATGCAGGGCAGCACGCAGTCTGCAGCTTGCGCCCGGAATCGTCAGGTCGTTGGTCTCTGATAGTTGCAGATGGACACGGAAAATGTGGCCATCAAGTTGCTGCGCACCTCTGTGCGATCTTGCCCGACCTCCTCGAGAAGGCGGAAGTGTCGCAAGCCAGAGCGCAAGTCTGGGTCTAAGCCTGAGGCGATCCAGACTGATCACCCGACCGACTCTATAAAGAAAGCTTTCGCAGAAGCAGAGGCGTCGCTGTGAATGTCGCGTCTTCCTTTGAGACATGCAGCTTTGACGTGTCAAAGTGTTCAGCTCAGCCCTTCAGGCAGATTTGGAAGCTGCAGCGGTGGAAAATGGCTTCGATTTGATCACATCAGGCAGGAGACTCCTTTAGGCATGTGTGGCTTCTCTTCTCCTTCACCCGATTGGTCTCAATGTTTGTAAAGTATGGCACTGATGACCCGACACAGATTTGGAGGAGCATCTGTTGTGACGGCCTCGTTAACAGAGGAGGCCTGCTTTTCTCCTGTTTGCTACGAGGTCGAAGAACTGTTAGACAGGATCTTACGGACCTTCTGGCTTGTTGCAAGAAAGTCTGTGGGCAGGGCACATGCCTCGCATCGTGTGGGGACAGCCAAGCTTTGATTGTTGACGTTTGCCCCCCAGACCTGCATACGTTGAGGATGTGCAACCAATGGGTGCCAACATATTTGTTGTCTTTCTTTGAGGCTGAAGGAATCATAACGACCAGTCGTCAGCACAAAGCACACGACACCAAGGAGCAGCAGCGCAGCTTGCAAGCACAAGAGCGTGCAGAGTGTGTAGGTCTTGCGAGTCAAGCCTGAGGAATCGTTGCAGCTGGTGGCTCGATTAAAGTGGAGCGCCCGCTCTAGCCTCAGCGGATCCGCGCAATGTGACGCTGGCAACACCTTCGGGAATAGGGTCACATTGCCGTATATGATGCCAGTGCCTCCTCACCCCCCCAATGGTTCCCACCCCCTGGGGGTAGTGTGGTTGTGGGTTGCTTCCCCCTCGCTGTGGGAGGTGTGGTTCGGGGTTGGGTCTGCTTAGGGTGGTTGGGTTTGCTTGCGGAGACTCACCCCTGAGTGTTTGGGTCTGCTTGGGGTGTTTGGGAAGAAGTCCTCGTGACATTTGACGGTTTTGGAGCCCTCGTACTTCTACCCTCGACCTAACTCGACATAGAGAAGCCTGACGGACGTGAGTTCACTTTGGGTACATCTGCGCCGAACAAGTGTCTTCCTTTCGGAACAGGAGCCTGTTCTCGACCAGGCGTTGCAGGAACACCGTCATGTCCCGCGTGTATGGAAGACGGTCATATGGACTGGCCATGAGCAGATCGTTTGGTGACCTCTGCGCAACTTGGCAAAAGGAAGAGGGAGGATCGGAGGGAACTTCATTTGAGAAGGCCTAACGGCAAGGATGAAGCAGCGCATGAGCCTGACGTGAAATGCCTTTCGGCGCACCCTTGAAGTCTTAAGTTTCAGGTGAAGCCCGTTGGCGTGGTTGCCGAGCCCTCCGTCTCCATGGCTCGCCATGACAAGGCCGGGATATTGAATTTGCACCCTATATGCCCCTAAGTGGCTTCCTATCCTTTGTGCTTTCTCTTCGTGCCTCTCAATGGTCTTCTGATCCTACCCGGGTTGCAATCTTGAGTTGTCGCCTTGAAGTGCAAGCCAACTGCAGCTCTGTACCGGGAATCCACGGTCCTGACAAGCTCGGACCATCATTTGATTTGATGAGGAGCTCGTGCTGAGGGCACGTTGTGCAGCCGTGCTGCGACATTCATGCGCATGGCGCAGGTGCTCGGGTGAGCAGAGTGGGTGTGGGGATGCGGGACACCACATACGTCAGCGCGCATCACACTTGGCTGCCACACTGGAAATTCAATCTGGGCCACCTGGTGGGGGCAGGGGTGGAGCATCTTAAGCTGAGCTCAATGCCAATGTCTCACACGGCCAAGATCCAGGCCAGGATCTTTTCCCCACGACCACAGCAACAAAATGAGACTGGATCAATCTGCGCAGCAGGAGGGTCTTGTAAGGCACCAGGAGTGACGATAAACCCCCAAGCCACGTGCACAGACCCGCGAGGCATGCAGCGCAGGTCCGCGAGACGAGACGGGCTCTTGTGTGGGAAGCAGCATTTCCTCTGAAAGTTTCCATGCGACATGTTCCAGAAGTACCCGTGCAGGCTTGTAAGCTTTAGCGCCTTGAATAGCAAGGCAAGTGAACAGAGACAGGTCACGAAGGCCTGCTTCTGCAGGTCCCGACTTGAGAGCACGCCTAGCCGCAGGCTACAGTAGGCGCTTTCTTCAACCTTGAATCATGCTGCAGGCTCGCCTCGTGCTTGTTGGAGGGTCCCCTGCCGCGCGTGTTCACTTCAGGAGGGCCTGCGCGCACCTCTGCATAACGCGACTCACATGGTTTGCATCAAGTCCGGAAGCCTCAGCACTGCTGCAGCCCGCTACTTTAGGGCTTCACTTCTTGCCTCTGGACGTGGCCAGGCTCTTCTGATTCTGGGCAGCGATGGCTTGTTCGAGTTCTTGGCTCCCGTCGAGGCCGCCGAGGGATGCCGAGGGATGCCGAGGGATGCCGAGGGCGCACGCCTTGCGCACGCCTT